TCTTCGAACAGATCGGTCCCTGGCCCACTTCTCGGACAAAATGGATCATTTATGCTAATATATGCTAAAAAGCTACCTACGTACCGAATTTTAAACAAATCGGACCGTAAATACGATTTTTTCGAATAGATCGGTCTCTGGACCACTTCCCGGAAAAAATGGGTCATATATGCTAATATATGCTAAAAAGCTACTTACGTACTAAATTTTAAGCACATCGGACTATAATAAGATTTTTTCGAATAGACCGGTCCCTGGTCCACCTACCCGAAAAAAAGTAAAATCTTTTTAGCCTAAAACATGGTGGTTACCGAAAGCTATTTGCATACAAAATTTCATGAAAATCGGACCAGCCGTTCGCGAGATTACCTGTTACAAAAAAAAGGGACTTCTCTTTATATAATTAGTATAGATATGTTTTCCACCTTTCCGAAAGCTACCGCTACATGATAAGCCGGGGTGTATAAATTTTAAGTAAACTAGCGTCCTAAATTTCGAAATATTGAAATTTCAAGCATTTCTGAAATTTACCGTTATATGAAAAGCGGCCGTAATTTTAGTCCGATTTCAACAATGGTTTGCTTTTATGTGGCGAGCACAATAACCATACCGAGTACAAATTGCTAGAACGGTTAGCGAGATACATATATATGATCATAAGTGGGCGGTGCTACGCCCATTTACCAAAATTTTATCATAAGAGTATTTCCTGGTAAAGAATTGTTGCAACCATCAAATTTTGAATAATTTAGCTTTAATATTTACTGATTTATCGAGGATTTCGTATTTATCGAAATTACCGTTATATGGGATGTGGGCGTGGTTATTGTCCGATGTTAAAAATTTTCGGCCATTTGGTATGCTGTAACAGGGCCAACAACTGTGCCAAGTTTCGAAGAAATTGGTGCAGCGGTTACCAAGATATACACTTGTAACCATAAGTGGGCGTGGCTACGCCCATTTTCCAAAAAATTTCAATATTCTTATTTATCGTCTAAAATTTGTTGTAAGTATCAATTTTGAGTGAATTATCTTCAGTAGTTACTAAAATATCGCAGTTTTTGTATTTCTGAAAATTACCGTTATATGGGAAGTAGGCGTGGTTATTGTCCGATTTTGCCCATTCCATCCGTCCTACGCCCGAAGGAAGTACACGTACCAAGTTTCGATAAGATATCTTAATTTTTACTCGAGTTATTGTGTGCACAGACGGACGGACAGACGGACGGACAGACGGACGGACTGACGGACGGACGGACGGACAGACAGTCACCGCTTAATCGATTTCTCTTTTCATTCTGATTATTTATGTATACATTTGTCTATATCTATCTCGATTAGTTTTGCCTGTTACAAACAACCGTTATGTGAACAAAGTTATAATACCCTTGTGCACAAGTGCGCTCGGGTATAAATATAAAAATCAAGGTTGTACCATACATACGCACATACATATATATATATATATATATCTACCCAGAGGAAATTTTGTTAAATCCTTTCCATGATAAGGTATTACAGAACAGCTAGCCCCTAGGCAAGTGCAAAGCATATCTCAACATCACTACACACTGCACACTGTGTGTGTGAGCATTTCCAGCGCTCCTTCTCGAGAAGTCAGTAGGCCTTCAGGAAGACCCGGGGTCTAATATCGTTAGACCCAACATATAAATTATCATGTTTGTTAATTTTTGCGTACGTGAACGCCTTTGGACTAAATCCTGCAAAACCCAGACGTTCTGGAACACATTAAAAGTGTCAAAAGTGAAAATAAACGAAATGTTCGCGCATTCCGTCCACCAAAAACAAAGACAGTCTGCAAAACATGCAACACAGCATTCGCGGTGGGCAGAAATTAGAACTTTGCATCTCCTGTATCAAAAACACACTCGTAGTTTAAGCTTTTTTTGCACTAAGTGAAGCAATGTTATTTTTTCTTAATGTTTTTTTATACGGAAGTAGATTTTTAGTTTATGATTTAATTTTTCGTTAAATCATAAAATCAAAATCGGTACGAATGGTCACCGTATGTATAAGCCAAAAACTTGCTATTAAAATTAATTTCAAGTGAATAAAGTTTCGCTGATAGGATTCGAATGAACGGCGTTAATTTACCGCAGAATATGGCACCTTTCTTATTTATCAATTACTAAATTTTATAGCTTTGTATGGTATGCGAAAAATCCCGTTTCTGGACAGAAAATCCCATTCGCCCTTTTTGGTTGAAAAATTTCGAAAAAAGGCGAAATCCCGCAAACAGGCAACAGTGATAAGTGCTTTCTCTCAAAATTGCTTTTCATTACGAGTGGTGAATGAGAGAGCTTTTTCTATTATTTATTTTGCAACGCAATTGATTCAGTAATTCTACGAATCAGTCGAATACTTTTTATAACATCCGGATAATCAACTGGACGTTTATTGACCGGATATCAAAATGTTATCCATATACTTGAATATTCGAACTGATAAACGAATATAAGGATATTCGCGTTATTTTATATATTATATTATACATATGTAATTTGTTTATATTTATAAAATAGTTAGAAAATACTTAAGCTACTTGTCATAAGAAAAACTGACGAAATTATGTTTGTACACTTATTTATGGTTCATTAACTTTCGGCTATGCGTCTTAAACCATCAAAATATTAGACTGGTAAGAGTCAAAGTGATAACAGGAGTGATTTTCCTGCATTTCAAGGAATCCGGAATCGGAACTCATCAACGTGGTAGCATCTCTACACAACACTGTCTTAGGATATCTTTGGATACTGTGTTCACTAGTTTTAATTTATTCTATGCATGTATGTATGTATGTATGTGGATTCTACTTTTCTGTCCCTAATATCCATAGCGTCACCTTAATTCACAAAGGCCCTAGGCAACAAATTTTTTTTACAGGAGAGCAAAAAACATTACAAAACCGGTATCAAAAACAAGTGGGGCTCGTTAAAAAGTGGCATGGAACCCCGTTGATTTGGTAATGGCGCTTACACATATGTATGTTAGTGTTTGGCCGAGCTTCTCCTCCGATTTGTGGCGTGCGCCCTGATGTTGTCACACAAAGCGGAGGGTCCTACAGTTTTACGCCGACTCCGAACGGCGATTGTGTTTTTTATGAGAAGCTGTTTTTCATGGCAGATATACACTCGGAGATTTGTCATTGCCTGCCGAGGGACGACCGCTGTTAAGAAAAACCCTTTTTTCCATATTTTTTGCGATGTTGCTTTGACCAGGGCCTGAAGGTGCTGTGGAGTGGAAGCGCGCACTGCTTACCACTACACCACAGCGGCCGACATTTATGTATTACACCCTACCAAAATCTGTGAAAACCCCACATTCAAAAAAAGTGTCGGTGAATTAAGGTAACAACGATAGGTATCTATCAAATCTCTTATACTCTCAAAACAGAACATGTCAAAGAATAGATTAAGTATCTTTGAGCTATCGTGGTACTATCAGTTTTATGAGCACAACTGTACATAAATATGTATGTACATAAATAAATGTAAAAATGAATGCATGCATGTGGAAGTATGTACATACATACATATGTATGTGCATTAGGGTGGTCCAAAACAGTAAAGTCGTAATGGTTATGCTCTCACCCCCTAGGATTGTTCTATATCGAAAAAAGGAGACTTTAAATAATAATACCCAACTGTTTATTTAACATTTTTTAAAACTAACGATTTTTTATTGGTCGCCCATTGCATTTTTCGGTGTTTTTGTGGGTTTTTGGCGGACCTATAAATTATAGCTGCAATGAAAAAGTGGTTAAATAAACAATTGGGTATTATTTTTGGGAATCTCCTGCAGATAAACAGAGTTTTCTGAAAGAAAAATATTGAGTCATAACTATTCTATACCATTTCTATGAAAAGTTGTTTTTTCCCCATATAAAATACACCGAAAAGTTTGGGCGCTTTGAGTGACCTCTAAATATTTTTTGATTTTAAATTAAAAAAATAAGGGTTTATTTTTTTCGGTATCGAACAATCCTAGGGGGTGAGAGCATAAAAATTCCGACTTTACATTTTCACATTCATTTTTGGACCACCCTAATGAACATACATGTATGTGTTAGGCGCGAACCCACGAAGTGAATAGCTAAAAACCCAAATGAAATTACTCAAATTGAAAGACTATATAACAGTGTTGCCACTTTGTTGTAATTCCTCAAAACGTGAGGAATTTCGGCTGCGCTTGAGTATTTTTTGAGGATTTTTCTCTCGATACATTTGCAGATAACAAATGCAACCATGTTTCGCACAACAGAGTTGTTAAATCGCTCCGCAAAGTTTTGAACAAAAAGGTTTCCGAAGTTTTATAAATAGCAAAATACAAACATTCTTCAAACCAACTCTACCCATTTCGCCATACACCATGCAAACATGACTCGTTCAAACAAAGAATTTTAGTTTTCTTCTGGTTCCGGTTTTGATTTTTGTCCACATTTCCCCATACACAACATAAATAACTTTAAGAAAAGGGATATTTTGCTTGGTTTGTCAAGCTGCTTGTGTGGTATTTTTCGCTCTTAAGCACATCTGCATTTTCTGCTAAATATTCAAAATGTTATCGATAATTTTTTTCATTCCATCGTTATATTTTCAAATTATGTACTTTGAACTTGCAAAATCTCGTTAAAAAATGGAGAGAACACGCATTGTTCGATCATAAGGATGTTCATATTGATTCTGCATTAGATCAAGAAAATTATAGGAAAAAACTCTTTGAATTAAAAGATTATTCAAGTTCATATAAGAATCCCAATTAGAAAAAATTATATCTGCATTACTAATATAGCCCTTTTCTAATGCTCCAGTAGAACGTATATTTAGTAGTTTGAAAATGTGTAGGACTGACTTGAGGACCAGATTGAGCACTCATATATGTAGTTGAATCAATATTATATACATACCAACAAAGGCATAAAAAATAACGGTGATACTTTGTTTGAACCGCCAGAACAAATGTACCAACTGAATTGGAGAATGTAATTAATTTTATACTAAGTACCAGTAAATAGTATGCAGTAAACAATACTCATATCTATAATAAGAAAATTTTGATTTTAATTTGGTCGGATTTTGAGGATTTTTCATTTGCTTTTGAGGAATTTGGTAATTTTTTTGTGGCAACACTGCCATATAATGCTGCAGGTTGTATACCCACTCTGTTTGTTTCGTAATTTGTCTCCCGGTTGCTTGTACATCTATGGATGCATGCATACACGTGTTTGTTCGTATAGTGAAAAATATTGCAAAAACTCACCCTCCCAATTCATTTCGATAGATACTTCTATCCACAGATTCTCAATTCTTTTTCGATTAGCATGGTCCATATCTCTAGCATCATATAGTGCTCTTCTTGCTTCAACTAAATCAATTAATTTTCCGGTGTCTTCGTCCATAGTCAGCAAAAATTTCACATATACTGCCACGACAGCCAAACGAAGGCAAACAGCCAGCCGTCTACAACGAAACATGATTTTCCGTTTCGCCTTGTTTCTTTGTTTCGATTTCAGGTATGACTTATGCCGCAACAAAGTTCGCAGTTATTGAAAACAATACTGGTTTGAAACAAACTTGTTGCAATGGCTATCACACAACCGCACACAAAGAAATGTGTCTCGACAATCACTCGCCACACACGTTGGAATATGTTTCGTTTCGTGCACATCGGAGGTGTGTACTGCCTTACCGCAGAACTCCACAGGCAAACACCGATGGCCTACCAACTGTCATTTTGACGAGAAATATGATTGCATGTTTTTGTGTGTGGGCACTTTGATGTCTTGAAATAAGCATTTGCCGCATGACGTCACCAGACAACATTCTCTCAATTTCGGTGTTTAAAACATTTAAATCTTTAAAAAATACTTGCTGAATAATTTACTGAAACGTAATCATAAATAATCCAATAGGGAACAGATTTTAATTTTGATTTAATATCAAAATTTCATCGATGTTACCACCAGCACGCTTTCTTTCAAATTAAAATATGGCTGTCAAACTATCGAATTGCCTGCAATAGATGTCAAGCAATAAGCGCTGACATATATTGCAGCCCATGAGAAATAGGCGGTATCCATTGGAAATATATTTTGTGACATGGTTAACACGACATCAGTGTTTTCCTCTGGAGACAGGACCTTATGAAAAACAGTAACTACATACATACACATGATTCAATAATACAAGTAAATTTGCAAAGAAGCAACACGGTGCCGCTGCTAAGGGAGCGGTGCGAGAGAGACAACTGTCAGTTTATCGAACCTTGTATTATTGAATCATGATACATACATGCATACGTAAGAATGATAGAATACAAGATTGCGCCGTCCTGGCCTTTGACATTTATGTACCACAAGTAAACAAAGAATAAGCGAAAAGAAGAACAAGTTGAAACAGCCATAACAGTTCACTTTACGGCTGCAATTTAGTTTGGCATCCCCGGAGTTCCGCATTAATACGGTAGACAAACGGGCTCGATTATTTGCATAACCAGCCTTAATTTGCTTTAACTCATGCATTTTCCTCTTTAAAATGAGCATAAGCAGCCGAACAAATGCACGAAGTTTTTGGGAATTAACTCGGATCCGGGGAATTTTCGATGACAACACTGGTAAAAACGGCCAGTTGTTGTCTTTTGTACAAGAAAGCAAACGAAGCAGTCGAGTTTCGCGTACGCGGTAGCCGAGTGGTGAGAGTTGCGAGCTACAAGCCTGTAGCTGCCAGGTTCGATATACGGTTGGAGCGATTGCGAAAATTTTTTTGTTTTTATTATTTATTTTATATTTTTTTTGTTTTATTTTATTTATATATTTAATTTTACTTTATTTTATTTTCATTTGCTTTATTTTATATCACGTTTCTTATTTTACTATTAGTTAATTTTAATTTTTAGAGATGAATTTTGTTAAAAATTCAACAACAACTAACTGAAAGTAACGTAAAAAAAATATAGAACTTATAAAAAAAGAATGAAAAAGAAATAAAAAAAGTATACTGGCCGTGGGACTCGAACCCACGACCTTGCGGCTGGTTTATTCGCATTACTGCCGTCTGTAAGGGTAAAATTTTAATTTGCNCCCCCCCCCCCCCCCCCCCCATAGCCACCTTTTTTTTGTGCATTCCATTGCTTTGCAATTAAGGCTGCTGCAGAAAACTGCGGCAGCATCTCACCAGGATTGATTAGTTAACTTGCTAATGGAGGCTGCTTGGAGCACGGAGCTTTGCCGTGCCCGAATCGTCCCAGCGCTACAACTGCATCTACGCTTCTTCCATCTTGACGGCTGTCTCAATTTAACACACAGCACTTCATTGTATTAGTTTTCACGCAGTCTTCAACTCAAAAATCACTCACAAATTGCAAATTAACACAATTTAAACCGATTTTTAACTTATAATTCAAATTTCTTCTTCGCTGATTTGTAAACAAAGGTTTATTTACAAATTACCACAACTGTCAAAATCGGCAAAACCAAAGTAGCGGTACACTGACGGCGCCACCTTTGTTTGCTGCACCGCGATACATACGTTTGTACACAGCGTTGCCGTTTTGATACAATTGTACCATTTTTGATACTTTTTTTCTAAATTATAAGATTTGATACTTTGATACTTTTTTGTTTACAAACGCCCATTTTGATACTTTCGGCTGACAGAAATGAATTTTTGAAAACTGTGAATAGTATTACTAGTTTAAAGGCAAATATTTTTTTTTTTTGTTATTTAAAGTCTCAAAATTTACATATTGATATTTATAAGTTTTATTTGGTAACTCTTATAAGAGAAACACAACCCGGAATTTCATTGCACACACCGCTGTCATAGGGCCCCTAACCAGTGTGACCGCTGGCTTGTAAAAAATTGTAGCAGAAAAGAGACTTAAAATGTATCAACATGTATCACTTTTTTTCATATAAGTATCCAAGCATCAATATGGAATAAAACTAATAATTTTTATGAAAACCCATTTTCCAAAACAATTTAACATTTATTGCACGAGCAAGTTGAAATTATTTCCCGAAACAGATTTGCGTAATTTCAGTTGCGGTTACACCTTGCAATTTTTATTGACGAAAGTGATTTCTGCACATCTGCAAAAAGGACTTTCTGATTGTTTACACGGGAAAGTAGGCTTTCGATTTCGTATTTTGACAGCAAAATGCGTAGAAAAAGAGGTAGGATTGCCAAGTTTAACCACACCTTTAGTCTGGTAAGCTATGTTTATCAACAGCTGATTCGTAGCCTTTTTCCTATTAAAAAATAAATTGTAATAAAAAATTTAAGGAATTTTATTTACTCCAATGCGTTATGCCTTTCGGCAGCGGGCGGATTCAAAATTGGATGAATATCGTACAGCTGATTGCAGTTTACGAACTACCAGAAAAATTATCAAGTTTCTACCACGATAATTCGGTAACCGGTAAACCGATACTAAAATAATTTTACACAAACAAGATACATGGGGGAAAATTTACCGCAAAACTCCACAGGCAAACACCGATGGCCTACCAACTGTCATTTTGACGAGCGGTATGATTGCAAGTTTTTGTGTGTGGGGACTTTAATGTCTTGATATGTATAAGCATTTTCCGCATGACGCCGCCAGACCACATTCTCTCAATTTCGGTGTTTAAAAACCTTTAAATCTTAAAAAACTTGTTGAATAACTTCCTAAAACGTTATCATAAATGATCCAATAGGGAACAGATTCTTATTTTGATTTAATATTACACGCTTTCTTTCAAGTGAAAATATGGCTGTCATACTATAAAATAGCCTCAAAAATGTCAAGCAATAAGCGCTGACATATATTGCAGCCCATGAAAAATAGGCGGTATCCATTGGAAATATATTTTGTGACATGGTTATCACGACATTGGTGTTTTCCTGTGGAAACAGGGCCTTACCGAACACCGAGTTACCGAGTACCAAGCCCAAATTTTTGTTATTGAACATAGCGAAAATATAAAAAAAATGCTATGCTATGATATTGTTCGTTTATTTACATTTTGACGTTTATCGTCATGGGCCATGAATCATAATACATCAAAGGTTCGTTCAGTGAACGACAATGAACTTTTGGATGTACGATGCCACAGGTGACCGACATGTTTCGTAATGCATACAAATTTATAGATTTTTTTCTTTTGTATTTGGAAAAGTATCAAAACTGAAAGAAAAGTATCGCTCCAAAATTCATCGAAAAATGTATCACTTTCGATCCACTTGGATCATAATGGTCACACAGGCCCTAACCACGCAAAAATATTGCGCAATATCGGGGTTGCGTCGGTCGTTTCTGTGGCATATTGGGTTGTTTGTACTACATTGCACAGTTAATGTGCTAAAATCCAAATTATTTTCATATTTTGCTCATGCTTGTGTTATTGTACAGTAATTTGTGCTGCGTATGGCGACAACTGCGAAAGTTTTGATTTTGGTGTGCAGATCGTGCTGTAAAATATGGATAAGAACGTAGAAAAAAATTATATTTTTTATAGGTATTTTTTTTTTGTGTTTTAAAGCTGAAGCTATGAAACTATCCAACGCACATTCATATTTCTTGCATATTTTTACTTGAGACACGTTTCTCCAAAATAAGGTTTGCGCAATTTTATTCTGTAGTAATTTGCACAGTATTGACTTTTACAAGTCTCGGGTTGCGCAATGCTTTTGGTTTATAAGCCCTATAAGTTTGTTTTTCGTTATGCAAATAAGCATACGATTCTCTGTTTTGTTAAAGAAAGTAATATAAATTTTTTCTTATAACTATGGATTTAATTATAAAATTTTATTTATTATTTGTTTTTTAAATATAAGTTTAACAAATAAAAGTGTTGTGTGCTTTTGATACTTTTTGATACTTTTTCTTCTTGGCAACTGATACTTTTTTTCAAGCTCGCGGTAACGCTGTTGCACATACACTTTGTAATGCTAGGCACTAAAGCTTGGAACACATTGGAAACGAAGGCCTACGGACCATAGCTGTCAAATTATTTTAACACGTACTCTTACAGCATGATTCAATAATACAAGGTTGGATAAGTATTGACATTTGTGTCAATCGACTACCTTGTAAGGTTGCATTTGAGAAGGAAAGAGAAGCGGGTAGCAATTTTATCTCCTTTTGTGAAAAGGTAGTAGGAAAAGTAAGTAGTCTGCTAGTGCTGAAATGCGTTTTTGTATACAAACTGAATTAAATATATAAAGAAGATTCCACTGATCTACACAATAGACAATGAATTAACTTTTTATGGCCACATAAATATTAAAAATGAAATAAATGGATATTCACATACATTTCTTGCCAAAGAAAAATCTTTGAAATCTTTGAAGGAATGTTCACAAATATTCAAAATAAACCATGGTTTCATTGAAATTCCAGGATGTATTAAACAAAATGAATGGAATTCAAACAAATCCTTTATTCAAAGGGACTATATGAAGAATTATACAAATAGTAAAGATGCAATTGATTTAATGCATATAAATTAATATTTTAAAAATTGTTATATTTGTTGCATTTAAACATTACATGTTCAATATCTTAAATTGAATTACATTTGGTTTTTTTGAAATTT